CGTCGACAGGACTTGATAGTTGTCAAAATTTTTGTTGCCGTGCAATTATTCAAAAATTTTTTTACTACGGTTGACCTTATTCACAAAATAGTGAACTTGTCAACAGGTCCAAAACTCAAGTTTTTTTCCTTTTTCATTTTCATATTATTTTGGATAGAAATCCTTCAAAAGTATTTTCCGGATTTTGAATTATATTACACCAATAAAATGAAACTTTTATGAAATTTTTTGATAATTTATGAATAATGGCAGCCTGATCATCATCTACTTTTGCTTTAACTTTTGTTTAGGTCAGTCTATTGTTTAGTTAAGCCTGTTTATTAGTAAGTTTTTTTAATGATATAGAGTCTAAAAGATTTTAAAAATTAAATTCTCAATAAAAAAAAATTGGCTGTGATGCAAAAATCGGCAAATTTTGGCTATCAGGCAAAAATTTATAAAAAGGTTCAGAAAACGTTTAAGACTGATAAGAAAAAAAATTGATCATCTAAACCTTCGTTGAGAATTAGGTTTAATTTTGTTTTGATTAGACATGTGTGAATATAAAGGGGAATTGGTCGTATCACTTGGTGATAACGAGAAAAATCCAATCTGAACGCAAAATAGACATTCAGTATAGAGGAAAACTTCTCTGACGAGTTTCTGACGAAAAGTTTCTTGCTGCAGGCTGTTAAGTCTATCCATTCGTCGCGTCATTGGAACTCTGCTTGAACTGAACAATTGGTTGTTAGAAGCAGTGGTGATCGTTCTTAATTTATTTAATTGCAAGCATTTATTAGTTAGGAAAATGACTCAACGGTTGTAATAAATTTTTTTAAAGAAGAAAAAGGATTGAAAAACGGAAACTTTTCAGGTGTTTCTAAAACTTCAGCAATTATATCAATTGTCATTTTTTTGATTCGCTGTCAATTTTTTGTTTGTCTACTTATTAAACAGGTATATATTCAAATTTTCTTGTTACGGTTTCTGTGAATGCTTTCTGCCACAGCAGATGGCAGACTGACTGGCTGAGCAAATGCAAGAAACCAATTGCACTAACCTAAAAAGTAGCTTTTAGTAGAAAATTTGTCAGAACTTTTTGGCATCGCCGAACTTTTGAACAAATTTGTGCCATTCGTAAATTGCATACTTTCTTAATAATTAGTGAAAAATATTTTTTAAAAGAAGAAGCGAATAAAGGCGTACAAACTTTAGGAAGGATTTTTAGAACCCATACCCAGGAGATTTTCTGTGCAAGATCTGAAATTCTTTGTTTCTTACATAAATTGATTCTCAGATCTGAGACTCTTTGTTTCAGATCTAGATGAGAATTTACAAATTTCAGATCTGAATTTTGGATCTAAAATAGAAAATTTCAGATCTGAAATAACCTTGAAAAACAAAATTTAAGATTTGAAATCAGATCTGAGAAATCCTTTGTTAAATTATAATTTATGCATTTCGAGCAAATGTTGAGTTTCTATTTTTTGATGTTTCTGCAAGACACAAATATGTTTAGCTTAACTAGCGGTAAAAACATCCGAAACATTTCACAAAGTGTTTATTTCGAATTAAATTTCTTGTTCATCTGTGTTAAAAAGTTTTTCAAAAACTGTTAGATTACCTGTCAATTTTTTGGTTTTCATGCGCTACTTATGCGTTTCCAATGTTTATCTCATGCCTGGGGAGACATTTTGACAGTCTCCAATTTGAGACTTTGCTGAGTACCTGCTAGTCGCTAGCAGAAGCTATCAAAAAATCAAAAATTGTAAAAATTGTGCCAAAATCATTGACTGTTCAGATCTGAAATAACCAGGAAAAACTAAATTTCAGATCTGAAAAAAAAAACAAGAGAGACTAAATTTCAGACCTGAAATTATAACTGAAATAGCCAATCCTTAAAGTATCCAAGCCTTATTTAAACATTTCACAATCTATTTCAGATCTGAAATTCAGAGCTGAAAAAGATTATATTTCAGATCTGTTTTAGAAAATTTACTGGGTACGAGAATGTATTGAAAAGCTGAAAAGCGGCGTGTATAATACTTCAGCCATCTCTTTTGTAAAATTTTGGTCCGCATTCATGTAGACCCTCTAAAAACTACAATTTATGACTTAGAGTGAAACTTTCGAATACTGCGTAGCTTATTTTTGATCAAGCGACGGAAGAAAGCGTCAATTTCAGCTCATAACATACGATGCTTTTGTTGACAACTTCCTCTTCGATCGCAGGTTTTCCTTTGTTTTAAGTTGTTTGGATCTTGTTAATTATCCTCCCCCTATGGTACCTTGTAACGAATCCCCCTATAAAGAAATAATTGAACAGTTAAGCATATCGGAATTTTGGACCTTGTTAGCTATTTGCTCCTCTATTAAAATGGGGGGGGGGGGGGGGGGCGGGGATAGTTTACAAGATTTTCATATGACGTATTTTTCTCCTCGTTTTTAAAATAAACATTTTCAGCTCAAAGTGAGCCATTAATTGAAGCTCACTAAATGAAATATTAGAATAATAGAATCGATAGTGCTGATGAAATTATTCAGTGTTTCCGTTCAATTAGTGATAGTACATTGACAGATGCCATAAATCACTTCAACGACGTCGTCCAAAAATGACCCGTATCTGAGGGAAACTGAACTTTTAGCGCTTATTTAATGATATAAAACATAGCGAAAATCAAATAAGAGATCATCACACGAATCAACAACTAAAAATTAATTCCTTTAAATTTATTTTAAAAAAACAAACCGAGAAATTGCTTATGCAGCCAGCATTTACTATTGTTTTTATCGTCTTACACCACAATAAATAACACTGTTTCAAACAACCGAGCTTTTGTCTCATTCCTATTTGTGACTTTTCTATATATTTCTTAGAACATTTAGCAACTAATTTTTTTCCGAATTTTAGAAAAAAATTATGGACAAATCAGATGAAAAGAAAGCTTCGGAAAATTTTGTTTCCAACCCTCTTTAAGAGCTTTTGGTTTTTAAATCACCTACATATTTGCTTTAGCCGCCTGAATTTAGCCTAGGACCTAAAATTTCAAAACGGTTTTTGTCGACTGATACTTTAAAAATTTTCAAATAATTTTTAAAGAGGTCGAATCACAACTGAAGGAGCTTTTATTTTATATGTTACTTGACTCAATCTGATGATTTTTTGTGGTGCATGTCTGACTTTGTTGAAGTTTCTTCACACTTTCATTGGTAGGAACAATGAATATTAAGCAAGTGTTATGTTTCAGCAGGGGCAAAAGGATGATGCTGTAGAGTAAAAAAAATGATCAAACAAAAATGATAATTTTAGCCAATAAGCAGAAAGATGGAACTGACTTTAACCTTCTAAATAGTACCTGTGCTTTTTCTGAGCGTCTACAATGTTTAAATTTTTGTCCATTATCCTTTATTTTCTTTATCGTTCCGACTTTCGATACGAAAGTAACGGAATATTTGTGCTCGGGGTGGGTTGTTTCTTTCTTCAGACAAATTTCGACTTTTTAACTAGCCATTTTTGACGGAATTTTTAAAAATCATTCAAAAGGTATTGTTGTTTTGAATTTAAATTGAAAAAGATATTTCACCTGTGATCAATTTTCGTAAAGTTATGCGGGTTTAAAGATTGGCATTTTGGCCAATTTGGGACAATTAACGCTCGATATATTTCGCGCTATTAACGCGTAAGCGTAGATTTAATCCATCTTAGAAATAGTTCCAAATTGGTTGAAAGAAGCTTATTTGCCATAATTGATTTGTTACTAGAGGCTAAATTTATCACTTTGTACTTTATATGGCGTGTGGTGTGATGATTTTCACAAAAAATCTCAATTTTTTTTTCAAATTTTTTTTTCATTTTATTTTCTTTTTTTTACAGTTAAATTTTTCATCTTATTTCTGCTTCATAGACCTTAAAAGGCAGTCGGAACATTCAGGGCTTCGCCATGATACGAGCAGTCTTGTTGTTCCGACTTTCGATACGAAAGTAACGGAATATTTGTGCTCGGGGTGGGTTTTTTTTCTTCAGACAAATTTCGACTTTTTAACTAGCCATTTTTGACGGAACTTTTTTACATCATTCGAAAGGTATGGTTGTCCTGAGCTCAAATTTGAAAAGATATTTTACCTGTGATCTTTTTTCGTAAAGTTGCGGGGTTTTAACGATTGCCATTTTGGCCAATTTGGGACAATTAACGCGCGATATATTTCGCGCTATTAACGCGTAAGCGGAGAGTTAATCCGTCCTAGAAATCGTTCCAAATTGGTTAAAAGAAGTTTCTTTGCCATAATTGGTTTGTTACAAGGAGCGAAATCTATCGTTTTGTATTTTGTATGGCGTGTGGGGTGATGATTTTCATAAAAAATTTCAAATTTAAGAATTTTTTTTTTGACTTTGTTTTATTTCATTGAATTTTTTATGTTATTACTGCTCCATAAACCTTAAAAGGCAATCGGAACATTCAGGGCTTCGCCCTGATACGAGCAGTCTTGTTCTATCTTTACTTTCATTCCATAATTCCTAAAATGCGAACGCAAAAAAAAACGGTTAGTCTGCAACTTTGCTTCAAAACTCCAATTTTGATTATGTCAATTGCTTAGAATAGAGAGATCAGAAAGTCTAATAAAAGCCAATTTTTTTATGGTCGCAAGGGGCCTACGAAATTAGACGACAAGTAAATTGGACGACCGTAAAAACGGAATTTAAGGACAACCAGTATATACTCAGCCAAAAGTTAATTTAAGTCTGTAAACAAAATTCACGCAATTTGCACGCAAGTTAATATCTAAATTGGACAACCAGTATTTACTCAGCCAAAAGACCATTTAAGTCGGTAAACAAGTTTCACGCAATTTGCGCGCAAGTTATTGTCCAAATTCTGTTATTTTCTGATCGTCTAATTTCCTGTCGCCTAAGTTCCTAAACCCCATATAAACCGCTCAATAAATTCAGGGTTAATTTTCTTTAGGAATGGGTGAAGATGACGGAGAATGGGTATCAGTCGGTAAAAGCAAGAAGAAGAATTGTCTGATCGAGCCGTCGATAGTGAATACGGGCCACAAATCTTCAGTTCCTGACGACGACTTTAATGTCGCAGACTGCTTGGTTTATCCAGACGTCTTTGGAATTGTGCTTGAAATGAGCGATTGGCACGGGGTCATTGAGGTCAACCAAGATTGTTCTCATTTTATTCAGTTGCAAGCATTTTTCCCTTCGGAAAACGACTCATTGATTGAAATAAACCTTGGCAAGGGAAAGAAAAATGGATTGAAGGGCTGTAAATTTTCAGGAGTTTCTGAAATTTTAGAAGGCTCAATTGTCAATTTTTCGGTCCGCATTCACACATATACGCTAAAAACAGAAATTTATGACCTATCAGTGAAACGTTCGCACCCCAGAGAGCTTATTTTTGATCAAGCGACAGAAGAAAGTGTCGATCTCAGAAGAAATAGCTCGAACCATTTCATAACTTACGATGCTATAGTTGAAAAAATTCCTTTTAATCGCAACTATTGCTTTGTCTTAGTTGAGAACTCAAAAGTTGATCCACAGCTTTTCAAATCACATACGTTTTACCTCAATTTTCGAAATATTTATAGCTTGGGAGTCAAAGTAGAGGAAGAAGACGAGTTACAGCTTCACTTCGCCCCCGGATACATCAAAAAATACCAAAACGACCCGAAAAATGTGCCAGTAACCAAAGCTTATTTGAAGAAATTCGGAAAACTTCGAGATGAATTCAGGGTTGCCGAGGAAGTTATTCTCTTCTTCCATTCAATCAATGATGGCACTTTGACAAATAGAGATGCGATGAATCACTTTAGTAATGAAACGTCGGTGAAGACGGTTTTGTCGGCTTTGTTGTCTCCCAAATCCCGCCGGCATACAATGCACAACGAAAAAATTTCAGGCGCCATTTTACTTATAATACAATATAGCGCAAACTACTTAGGGGACCATTACACGAAGCAACTACTTGAAATATTGAACAAGTTCAATTTCCTGGATGAAAATTCCAACTTCCATAAGTTCATTTCAGATTTAGAAACATTAAAAGGTTTTGCTTCTGCAACGACCATTTACTATTTTTTCTTCATCGTCAAAAGCCATCACGACGAATTGTCACAAAAAGTTGATCACATAATTTTAAACCACTCAGCTTTTGCCCGCCTTCCTCTTTTCAATGACTTATTGAAAAACAAGAGCTTAAGAGATCAGTCGACAAACAATGTCCCCATAGCACCCAACTTACATGAAGTGCATGAGTTCGTTTATCACCAGCGAAAAACTTTTGACGAGCTGCATCCAGTTCGAACTGTCGGCGAATACGACTCTCAAGAAGGTTATCTCGAAACATATTTCAGACTGGCCAAATACGAGTGTTTCTACGGAGCCTTGAGTGCCATTAAATTATTAGCGGACGGAAAAGACGTTGAAAGGGAGGCTTTAATAGCAAAAAACGGCTCTCTAACCGTGCCCTTAAAACCTGGTAACACACGAACATTTACTGTCAGCGCAAAACCTCAAGACCGAGCTTCCAAAAAATTCCAGCAGCGGTAAGTGTATATATATATATAACTACCGGTTTCGATGCAAATTGGGCGATGTATTGCATGATTTGTGCAAAAAGATTATTGGTAAATAAATCACTTATGCGAGATTTCTGACATTGCAAACTCAAGTCGCTTTAACAGTAATTTGGGCTGCCGCTAAACGCCAAAAAACTAGAGTCTACTTAACAATCCCCAACCCCCACATGGTTTCTTTGAAACGCACGTTTAAGCACACCACTTGTCTTTCTCCATCATGTTTATATAAAAAAATCAATATCTAAAGAATTGCCACCCCTATTGTCATACCGCTTTGCATGATCTATTCTAGAATCCGAACGGATTGGCACGATAACTCAATAACTATTTAAGAATGAAAAGATAACTGAATTCAATGAAGTATTCTCGTGGTCTGAGCGTTTGTGCTCACCGATACGGTTTGTCCATATCGGTCAAGGCCATATGTTTGGCCGTTTAGTTGTATACATTTGTCTAAATGAAACATCACAAGGTTAAGCTAACCCAGCCGGGTGACATTCCCCTCTATCTTAACATAAAAAGAGTTCCTAGGTCCCCGTAGGACTTGTTGAGTTTTTTTCCGGGTGCGACATGGGTTTTAAAATCCATGTAGGACTGATTCATTTTTTCTTTTTTTTTTAAGTTGCCAGAGCTGTTTCCACGTCCAATGGTTTCTTTTTTGTGCAGTTGTTTCCTCCTCTTCTCGATGTTTCTTGTGCTCTTCCGTGCAAGTTGCCATCTTTTTCTCTGTCCTTTGCATCTTTTGGTTCATTGGGCTCTCCGATGGGGACAAAAGGTCTATAACGTTGATGTTGTCGTTTATTTGATAGTCGCTAAAAATTTCATGCCGGCAACAAATTCTGGTGAGTCTTTCTTGAACCCCATTTCGTGGATTAGACATTTTAAACTCGAAGTGTTTCTGCGTTGGATATGTTGCTGCTGTTGTTGTTCCGATGATGCTAGAGAAAACTCCTTTGGGGATTCTGGACTATTGATTGGGATTGAATTTTCTAGCGCCTTCGTTATTGTCGTTTGTTGTGTCCTTCTTGACTTTCTTGACGATTCCGCTAATTTTGAGTGAGGGGTGTTTTTTCACAACTACTCATTTGGGAGAAGGTGCTGTATTCTCCGAGACAAATTGTCGCTTGATGAAGGTCCCGATTCTACTGCGTCATTTTATCGGCCTGTTTGAAGATCGTTTCCCCTTCCCTGCCTGGGAGTTGGTTCTCCACCCATTATCTTCCAGTGTATGGCGTCTTTTCGTCTTCTGTAAACATCGGATGTTGGGTTGAGTTTAGCTGTTCGATGTCTAGAAAATGTAAACATGGACCTGCATGTCTTGCAGACTTGTATGCAAGATAGTCACTTAGTAGCGAAGGTCTTCAATGACCCCACAGACTTGAGGGTTTGAGACAAAAGCGAATACGCTTTACTGCAGTAAAGGAGGTTGTTTACCTCGTTTTTGCACCCAAGACGCTTGTGGCGTTTATGCTAATATTTTTCTGTCCCTTCTTTTTTATTTTGCGCGAACATTTTCGGGTTTTTAACCTTTGTGGCGATTCTTTTAGTTTTTCTAGCTACTTATGAGACGTAGTTTTCAATGCTAATGTCGACTTGTTTTTGTTCCTTTATATGTTAAGTTTAGAGCTTCCTTTTCCTTAGCTTTTGAATATCTGGATCTCACAGATGTACTACTTTGTGTGTGTGGTTTCCAGGTCCTTTAGGTTGGAGCTTGATGGTTCTGGCAGTTTCTGCATCGGCGTTTTCTCATTCTGATTTCGCTTTTAGACCAGCACTTTAGGTCATTCAATCTCTGGCGGGAGCGGAGGATGCATTAAGTTTTTCGATTTAAACAAGCGTGTTTTGCAATTTTCCATTGTAGTTTGTTTGTTGAACTAAATGTTGCTATTTTTAATTATAGTGTGTTAGGTTTTCGTTCCATGTGGGCTTCAAATGGGGCAATTTTTGTAACTCCGTGTGGGGTTAATCTTAGAGTGTTTATAATTCGAGCAATGTCCGAAGCTAATTTAAATGGGGAGTTGTTTCTGTCTATTCGCATGACTCCTTATCTACGTTTTGGTGTTTGTATTAGGCGTTCGACAACCCCTATGGATCTGTCGTTGTCCTCCGGAGCGAATAGGAGTTGAATGTTATTTGATTTGCAAACAAAATGTAGTTTTTTGCTTTAAAAGTTTGAGATTGGTCGCATCTTAATTTTCTTGGGACCCCAATATTTGATGTATTTTTGCATAAACTATTATGTTATATCTGCAGTTGTGTTTGTGACTACCTTAGCTGTTGACAATTTGACCATCTTTCTAGCGCAGCTAAACTGTACGAGTCCTCATTTAGCTTGTCCGGTAAAGGTCAGGCGAAGTCTAAATGTACTTCCACTTTTGGTTTGACAACTGGTTCCAACTGGAATGGTTGTGATTTTTCTAACGCTGGTTTTAAAATTTCACCTTGTTCTGTGTAATTTCGTCAGTTTTGGGCCATTTGCACGATGGTTCGTTGAGTGTGCGGAAACTAAATGTTATCGCGCAGGTCCACCACTGCCGTAGCTCCGGGATGCGTCACGTGTAAGATGTCCAATATAGTTTGGCGTAGCTGTCTGCGTATTATGATTCGGTCATCTATCAGAAGTCAATCTTCTTTGAAGTGGAGTCGTTTTCTGATGTTATACTAATAGTCTCCATACGCGCATTTTGGTGCCTTCCAGTCCTGTTTCTGTTCGAAATTCAATATTGGTCTCTTGTTCTGATCTTAGCGGGTCTCTGCGGCTATAAACATTATCCCACAACTCTTTGGAGGTTTTCCGGTGGAATTATGTGTCTCATCCGCCTCCGTTTCTGTTGCTTGGTCCGTTGTTGCTATTATGCTTGCTAATTTTAATTCTTTGCCGCCAGTTGTTGTGTATGCTTTTATATCATTGGTGGTGTTTTGTTTGGCGATACTGTTGCTCCGTGTCAACACTGCTTACGCAGTTTTCGTACTGCTCGTTGACTTACACCGTCACTTCTGTTTACTAGTATTCCTCTGTACACTGTTGTTCCGGGTCAACTCTGCTTACGCAGTACTCGTACTGCTTGTTGACTTCGTTGACCTCGTTGAGTTCTGTTTGTGATCGAACGTCGTTCTGTTGTTTCTTAGATTCGGTTGTAGTTGTTTGGGTTTTTGTCTAGTGTCTCTGCTTGTGTTTTCAATGAAATTTAATTGTAACTCGGGCTTCCGGGCTCTCGGTGGTGCCGGGCGAGATATCCTTCTCTTGTTTTCTCACCATTGTGTTCTCCTCGTTTTTTATTCTTGGAGCTTCATGGGCTATCCGCGAAGACATTGTTTGGGTATCCCGGAGGTTTTGTGTTTGGTATCATTTCTCGTGCATCCTGAATGTTGTGTTTTGGGCTTGCTATATTTATGAGAGAGGATGAAGTGCATCGTTCGTAGGTTGTCGTTGTTGATCTTCATAGCCATAATGAGTCGGACAAGCTTTCATCTCTGTCTGATTCTCCTCTCCATACCAGCTCCGTGTTTCTCCCTCGTGAGGTTTGAGGCTGTTTGGTACTTCTTGCCCTTCAGGTTCTTGCGTTATCGTGGATAAATCAGCCCTTGATGACTTTGTTTTCGTTCTCTTTCTCATTTCTTTTGCATTTTTCTCCGCTGTATCAATTAAGTTTTTTTGACTCTGGTTGTTTTGATTTTGTGGCCAGCCGATTTTTGAGTTTAATATTTTTCAAGTTATTTTTTTTAAAATCACACTAACGCTTTCAGTATAATTGAAATGTTTGAAATGCACTTAACATCTTGATTGTGTTGTTAGTTTCCTTTCACTTTCCGCGCGCTTTTTTATTAGCCGATTCGGTACTCGATTCCAATAAACTAGTATGTTTAGACCGATGTTGTCAATCAATTGAAAATTAGAAACGAATGAAGTGATTGACGCCAAAAAAAGATCTTCATCAAATTCACTGGGATGTGACATTCGTCTACTGTAGTCACCTATGAGGCTTAAGAAAAATAGGCCCTATAACCATTGGCTCAAGAGTCAGGGACACTATCTCTTGTGTTTTTCTACCTCAAATCGGTCGGAGCCAATTCGGTTCGCTTGTGACATGAGACTACGACTCGTTACAGCTTAAAGGCTACTACCAAAATATCCCCCACTCTAGAAATAAGAACGTCCCCATACTTAGGTCTCTAGTTACCCAAAATACATGAACGCCGTTAAAAACCGGGTCGGAACAATCCGTTAAGTTACTTTTTATTAGACAGTGGAAATTTGATCCATTTCAGATGGATGAACCTAAAACTCGCCTTACCTCAACATAACAATCATAAAACACACTCTAGAAATTTAAATTGAGTACTCACATCGTAGCACGCTCAAGAACTGGGAGTAATTAAGTCGGTAATCAACTCGAGAATTAAATAATGTAACTAAATGAGTTTAATGTTTATCAGTTTCAATAACAGGACCAAGTTTGAACTCTAGAATATAGTTTCTCGTGAACCATTGGGACACTCAAGCTGTCCACCTTTCCATCGAAGGTTCACTCTAGTTCAGTTCGAATAATAATCCAGTCCTCGGGAATACGCTTTCTTCTGTTTCAGATAGGACAGCTCTACTCTAGTTTTATTGTGACGGAAATTGCGAATAGCAATTTCCTACTGTTTTATCTGGCAACTTTCCCGCGATTGTTACTCGATCGTTCTGATTTCTCTTTTTCGGTTTTCAGTTATCGCGAGAAAATCGTGCATGACAGGCTCCATTCGAATTTTCGAAAAATCAAATTTCACTCCAAAATTAAGTGCTCTTGCTTTTCTCAAGGTCAAACTTCCAAATATGACCGACTGGCACAGGAAGTAAGGCTAATCCTTTTACACTTCTAGACATTTAGTCTATTAGACCCATTTTGTCCCCGCCACGTCTTCTATGTCGAAGTTGAATGGAATCAATCTATCGATCCATCTAGTTAGCCTACTTCAGCTAGTCTT